TACAATCTCCGCCGTCAGCGCAACCCGTTCCCCCGATTTTTTTTTTTTTTTTTTTTCTTACTTTTATAAGCATTATATTTAAAGGGAAAAATGTAACCTTCGACAGAGTTGGTCGATTTTTAGTGTAAAACCAAATGTAATCTTAATATAAGAATGTTTTAAGTCCGGTACCTACTGTCAGCGTTTATTTATATTTGTATAATACATGACAATGTGTATATAAACTACTTTAAATAATTTAATTAACATTAAACTGGACTCAAATATAATGGATAGCTTTATTTCATGTCACAACCTCGTATATTTACACAAAGTAGGTTTTTTATCGGTAAAAAATATGTCATTACTAAATATGCAATTGATATGAGTGATATTGTATCTGACTCAGATTCTCATTGTTTCTAAATAGGATTACTTTGTACACAGAAAAATTGATAAAACTTTTTCTTTTTTTTATAGAATAAAAAAAAAAATATGATCGCCATGCTTCACTGTAATTTAAAGGTCTGACACAGTTACACTCTCTAGGAGAAATTTTGAATTTAAAGAGAACGCAGCTTTTTGTACCGCATACTTGTGTGCATAAAGTCATACTGACGATCTAAAAAAAATAAAATAGAATAAAAAAATAGTGATGAAGTACATTTTGCATGTAAAAAAGGGACTGCGCTCATATTTGATATACACATGACAACAGAAGTAAATAACTCTTTAGTGTGTAATGTATATGTAACTTCTACACACTATGAGTTTCTTAAGAATACAGAGAGCTTTTTTTAAATTATTTTACATTACTTAATTACATTATATTTACTTACATTTGTTATACACAGCCATGATACAGCAGCAGATGTGCTTCGGGTTTTAGCAGTATTTTACAGTGATATATGTACACAAGTAAATAAGTATAATATAGTATATACAGAAAGTCATAGCTACATTCAATCTAATTATAATTACGATTTTGTTTTGATTATGCAATTGAGTCTGTACAAATTAATGTGAGCGGATGAAACGAGAGTGGCCAGATTATTGAGAAGAATGAGGAGCTAAAATTACGTAAAGATGTTTTATTTTGGTTGTATGCAAATGTCTATGTTGATAATGAATTTTGAAATGATGTTTATTACATTGGGATCCTTGTAATAGTTGTACCCACTCTACCGTAGTACCATAGAGTCTCGATCGATCCGATCTATCAGTTTACAATTTATCTTTTACCCAAAAATCAATCTCCAATATATTTATACTTTTGGAGGTAGATTGTATTCAAGATTTCTGTAACACAAATTTTGCTGTGTACATATTATATAAGTTATCTGTTCATTGAAACTATAAAGTTAAAGGGCTCTGCTTCCATTAGTTAGAGGTACAAGGTCTAAAGTACAGTAATTTTGTAAATATGGTTGATTTTATAAGCCATAGAAGATTTGTAGAATATTTATACTTTTAGAGGTCAATTTTCAGGTAAAAGATAAATTATACACTTGCCGCAAATAGCACAAAAAAATTAAAATTTTAATTGTCTATCTATACAACCAGTTGCGGCTGGTTTATACTCAATAACATCGCTCTACTATGAATAGTAATAATTATTTGGATCAGCGCCATCTAGCGGTATTTTTTTTTCGCCAAAAGTGGCCTCTAAAATTCTGAAACCGAGCACAAGGGCTAAGAGCCATTTAATCAATTATAAACCAGCCGCAACTCATTTCGTAGCTATAAAATGAAAAAATAACGGTACATGTGTTTTTGGCGGCAAGTTAACAATATATTTTTTACCAAAAAATCGACTTCCTATGTATTTATACTTTTTAAGATAAATTTTTGAGTAAGAGATAGATTGTTAACTTGCCGCCAAAAACACATGTATGATTATTTTTTCATTTTGTAGCTATGAAAAGAGTTGCGGCTGGTTTATACTTGGCTAAATGGCTCTACTTACTTTAGGTAGTAATAATTATTTTGATCAGCGCCATCTAGCGGTATTTTTTTTTTCGCCAAAAGTGGCCTCTAAAATTCTGAAACCGAGCTTTAGCGCTTACAGCCACTTAGCCTATTATAAACCAGCCGCAACTTACTTTGTAGCTACAAAATGAAAAAATAATCATACATGTGTTTTTGGCGGCAAGTTAACAATCTATCTTTTACTCGAAAATTTATCTTCAAAAGTATAAATACATAGGAAGTCGATTTTTGGTAAAAAATATTTTTTTAACTTGCCGCCAAAAACACATGTATTGTTATTTTTTTATTTTATAGCTACCTAATGAGTTGCGGCTGGTTTATAATTGACTAAATGGCTCTTAGCCCTTATGCTTGGTTTCAGAATTTTAGAGGCCACTTTTGGCGAAAAAAAAATACCGCTAGATGGCGCTGATCAAAATAATTATTACTACTTAAAGTAAGTATAGCCATATCATTAACTATAAACCAGCCGCAACAAATTTGATAGATAGATAATAACAAATAACTCTTTCTGTAATATTTGCGGCAAGTTTACAATCTAATTTCCACCTGCGAATCGACCTCCAAAACCATTAATATTCTACTTATTATATTCGGCTTAGAAAATCGACTACTTAGTTGTTATTACTATAAGTACTACTATTTTACTATTACTTCTATTGATGATTTTTGTTTATACAAGGGTGCCTTATGTAGGGGCGAGGGGGCAAGGATCAAGATGACAATTGCATTGCACACACGTTTAATTGACTGACAAGAGATATCTTACGTTGTGTTTAACCTGTTGTTATAATTTATGAGCTGATCCAAATAATTATTACTATATTTACAGTATGGCTGTGTAATTCACCTTTAAAGCTTAACCATGCAGCGTTACCTTAATTGTTACCACGACCTACGTAACTTAACTGCTGGCAGCATTTGCCGATTTGCGGAATAGGTGCAGCTGCAGCCGCAATTGACAATAAATAGAATAATAGATATAGGTATTAGGTACCTGCTCTCTCATCATCCCCAGCCAGTGAAGGTTAGAAAATACTGCAACTCGTGCAGAGGTTGCTAGTGTTGCTACTGCTGTTATAATAATGTTTATAAAAACTTAACAACATTAATCACTATTTCTATTTGTACAGATAAGTGTAGTTGTAAATAAAATAGTTGTATATGATTATCACATCAAAAATTATATACTGTTATGCATCAATATTCTTAGATGAAATGTAGTACATTTGGATAAATTAAAAAATTGCTGTTCAGTGAATAAAATTGTTAAACAATGTTACCACGATTTTTGAAACTTTACTACCAAGTCTTGGATGAATCAATCATTAACATAAGAAGGGTGTCTTCTGGAAGGGGCAAGGTGGGCAAACTTTTTTTCCTCACTCCGTTTGACATAAAAATACATTAAAATAAAAGATTAACTATATCAATACAATTCCAGAAATTTTTTGGAGCCAAGTATAGATATGATGGCGATCATGATAAACCTAGACATCAAGAACAAGACAACTACGAAGAATCTGAGATGAAAGAAAACATTCCACGAGAAAAAAGATACTGCATTGTTAAGTGTAAAAATCCAAAACTAAATTTTTATGAAGGAGACACTTATCCCAAGTTTGAACCGATTCCTATGGCATCACGAGGATGGCACAGCAGAATGTCTAAAGGGGACTACTTTACAATATTTCCAAATGAAAAAGTAAAATAATATCGTTGATGTTGTGAGTCTCAAACGTTTTTCTCCCACTGTACATTGCAACTTTATTTTTAGATAGAAGATGAAGAAGGGACAGATACAACAACAAGTTTTAGTGATATTGATTTGGACAGTAGATTGTTAAAAAGCATCGAAGAAAATGATTTGGTTCATCCCACACCAATTCAAAAATTGGGAATACCAAAAATTTTGGCTGGCAGTAATGTTGCCCTCACTGCTGAAACTGGCTGTGGTAAAACTTATGCTTTTCTCATTCCTTTGATACAACAAGTACTCCAATGGAAGCAAATGTTACCACAAAGATCACTCAACTCACCATTAGCTATTATCATGACGCCTAGTAAGGAGCTGACTCTGCAAATTGCGGTTAGTTATTTAAATGGTTCGCTTTATTTTGACTACATATTTATGGTTTTTATAAAAATTTCAGAAAGTAGCTCGGCAACTGACCAAAGACCTTGACATAAATATTGTAAAATTTGCATATGGAAATGCTAAAAGAGTATCATACAACCCACCCATAAGAGAAGTTGACATCATAATATCCACTGTTGGAATTATGAGCAATATGGCATCGATACATAGTTTCGATCTAGATTACGTGAGACATGTCATTCTTGACGAAGCTGATACCCTACTTGACAAATCCTTCAGCTTCATAACTTGCAGTGTTTTAACTAAGCTACAGGTATAAAAACTACTTTAAACACATTTTTTGCCTCTGCTCTTACTGTGTATATTTTATTTTGCAGCTTGGTGCTTACAGGAATCCCGATTCTATGGAATTTCCTGCTACAGCACAGCTGACATTGAATTCTGCAACGATTCCTCAAAATTTGGACGGATTGTTAGAACGCATAATAGATGTATGTACGTGAATCAACACTATTCAAAACTTGAAAAAATATCAGTGTAAAATTAAAATTATTACTGGTACTTTTGTAGCCTCAATCGATTATACCAGTGGCTACTGGATTTCAACACCAAATCAAAGTTCCACAAAAATTTTTGAGACTTGGATCATCAGAGAAACCAGTGATGCTGCTAAAAATAGTCAAGTCAAAGACAAAGAATAAAATACCCATCATTGTGTTCTGCAATAATATTGAAACTTGCGACTTTGTCAGTATTTTTCTCAAGCAATACGGTATCAACTGCACCAGGTTGCACAAAAAGATGTCTTTGGCAGAGAGAAAAGGGAAAATCATGGAGTTCCAGAATGGCCACACCCACGTTTTGACCACTACTGATGCTGGATCGCGCGGTATCGATACTACCCTTGCCAAGGATGTTATAAACTTTGAGTTTCCTCTGATCACGGCAGAGTACATTCATCGGTAAATAAACTGTCTCATGAGTAAGCGTCACGTAGGGCTCCAAGTTTAAAACTACAAATTTTTATTTCCCAGGTGCGGAAGAGTCGGGCGCATCGGTAGTCCCAGAGATTGTTTGGTTTATAACTTCATCACTAGACCACTGGAGGTTATTTTAACCAGCAAAATAGAATTCGCCGCGCGTAAATTGAAGCCGATACCCATGGTCGACATGCTACACAACAAATACGACGAGGAGGGTCAATTCTTGAGTGCCCAAGAAGAGGGCAACAATGTTCACGAGTTGAAATGGGATAATGATGGTAATGATAGGAATAACTCAGATTCGAGGGCAGATGATGATGAAAAAAACGAGGACAAAAGATGCTCTGTCCCGCAATGAGTGTGCTGTGAAAGTGTGTTTTTTTATAGTTTATTGTTGAACCGAGTCGTTTTTAAATAAATTTCAGAAAAAAAAATAACTCTCTGTATCAATTTTTTGAAAGGGACGCACAATTGCAAGTTTAGATCATTAAAATGCACGAGTAATAAACTTGGCGGGTAAACGAGTACTAGATCTGAAAAAAAAAACTGGACGGTACCGCGAGACTTCGTCCCTTTTCTCTACATTTCCTGGTCTTATCACCAACGTCATCATCCTCGCGATAATTAGGAAGAAGCTCATAACCGAGAGAACCGCGTAACGGGAGCAGCGATGGTCACGCTTCCAGTGATTCCAAAACGATGAAGGAAAAACTCAGGCACGGCGAAAAATTCATCAGTCGTTTGTCTCGCTTGTCGTGCTAAACGCAGGTAACAGGACTCTGAAGAAAAGTTTACGAGGTAGCGAGAATCTACAAAAATAAATGCATACTCTCTCTCTCTCTTAACAACAAAGAAAAAAAAGACAATAGAGAATTGACATCCTGTAATTACAGTAGCTTTTAATGTACAATCTCGGCACACTAGTTATCGGCAAAGACGACGATGACGGCACCGTGTACGTGTCGCGTTATAAGTGAGATTTCCAATGTTGCGCAACCGGTTCGGACTCTAGATCCGCAGAAAGAAAAAAGAAAGACTCGCGTAACGCTCGTGTGAAAAAAAGAGTAATAACTAACGAGCGAAGAGAAGAGCGCGATCCCGTACGCGCGTGCGAGATCGTGTTATTATGTGGCAGGTTCCTCTGTACGTACCACCTGATGTATGAGGTGTATGGTATTACATAGTTACGGTGCACTGCTTTTCCCCGATTGCGAAATAATAGACAACGCGCACATACGTGGATTAATGTATACTATTGCTTCCTGGCGTGTGCATTCATACGCGTATATAGGTACAATAGTTGTACATGCGAGAAAAAACCTGTAATGCACTTCGTGCGAGTATCGCGTAACGCGAAACGAAGACTCACTGCTGTAGACATATCTGCTACAAAACACACTGTGCGCGTAATTGTTAAGTGCCCATGTATGGTTGATGGCTTGGCTAGTTTGCGTGACGCGCATGAAGGACACGTGGATTTGTTTCTTCTTCCTACATTTTGCGGACTTATGTGACGCAAAAGTGACATTTTTTGCGCCGCAAACTTACCGTTACGGTTCTTTTTGGAACTGTAGAAGCTAACTAGATTCTTTACTTTTGCTTGAAGCCCGTAAAACTTGAAAGTAACGCTTTTGTTTCAAGACACATATTTCGATGTGTTTGTTTACAAGCACGTGTATCTTTCTCGTCCAACTGGATAGTCACCGCTCCGATCGTCAAACGATTTCCTTATTCATCAGTCCTCCGTAGCGCATTCCAGTATATCTGTTACTTCAAGACCTTTTTGGTTTTTTTCTTCTCTCCATGAAATACACGACCAACGCGGATTTGATATGCCACATATGCGACTTCTCATTTCGCGGTGAAGCCACGAACGATACGCGATGAGCAGGCACTTTGTAAAAAAAAATACACCGCAATGTATAAATCAGAGAGACCAGCTGTACTTTGTGCGAAAAAAAAGTTGTTTGTAAATTAAAAATCATAAACATCATGTAGTAGACTTTGCCAAATTTTTTCACGTGTTAATAATGGCTACTGTCTATTTCTTAACAAATTTCTAGCAGTTTGTAAAAATACTTTGATACCTTTATTCGCAAACTCAATCGTAAATTAATTATCTCATTTTTATGATAATTGCCGACAAGCTTCCCTAACTGATAAAAAATAATTATGATCGTATTGGCGCGAAGATTATCCATTAAATAACAAAATGCCAATGGTAATATCATGAACAATGCATTATTACTCTGTTGCGTAATCCACGATTTCACGAAAGATACGTATCGAATGGAGGATGATGAAAATTAAAGGCACGGTGTAACAGCGAAGAATACACTTCTTCGTACCTGCATATTTAAAAACTCTATTAAAGAGCTTCACGGACATGCTCGGGTGACTGTACGTAGTTGCGGAAGCGAGTACGATGATGAATGTCTTAAATTACGGGAAGGAGGTTTAAGTGGGTACCTGCGAAGGAGAGAGGAAAAAAAAAAAGTTGTACCCTACTTGCGCGTCCATAAACTGTTAAATACTTACCGTTCCATTTTTCAAATTAGACGAGCCATCCAAGAAGTTTTTTTTTTCTTTTGCAGTAAAAAAAAAGATCTTTGAACTCTATTTTTATCACGAACGGATGGAAGCGCCTGTTAGCCCTGCAACCAAGCCGTGCACGGGTGTCGAAGATTTTGCAGCTTTGGGGACGTTTGTTGGCGATCTTTTTTTACGATTTTTTGAATAAAAACAAAACAAAATGAAACGTTTTCTACTTTCATATCTTTAATCGAATCAGATTAATTTAATCAATAATTACAATTGCTTACTCTGCATTGGACTTGGAGAATAATTTGAAAAAAATAGTCCTCGAGGTAGTTCTAGCTCGAAAGAAATCGAAAAAATTACAAACGAGTATACCTACTCGAAAGCACTTAAACTTTGAGCCTATCAATTAAAGTGATAGAGGCTATGGCGTTGCACCATTATCATCATTACACATATAGGTATATGATTTATCATCGCTATGAGTCCATCTCTCCATCGTGCTCATTTCATGCAGCACCACGGAGGGAAAAATCATGGAGCTAACGCTTAGCGGCGATGGAAGTGCCCCCCCCCCTTTTTTTTGAACCTATGTGATTGGCTCATGACGCGTGTGCCTTTAACGCATATAAGCATAAGCGCTACTTCAGCATAAAGCAAATGCATAATAAGGCACTGGCTTTTTTTCCATCGTGCTTATGCGTTTTCGGGAGAGAGGGGATGCCGTCCTATAGGGAACGTGGGGCGGAGGTGGGCACCTTTTTTTCATTATTTCACTGTGACAACAATTTTGAGTATTTTATTATTGTCCAAGCGTTATTGACACGGTAAGAACCTTAACGTTACCGTGCCATACTTTGCTAAACTTTAATATATATGTATATATTTTTTTTATGCTGAAGAACGAGAACATCCAAAACTGCTCACTCGTGCCTCACCATAGGGTACGGGTGAGCAGAGGGTGGGGCGCGGATGGGCACGGATAAATAATGCACCCAGTATGAAAGTGTGTAGGTTTTGAAACTGATCTTAAATCTAAGTTTATTTTGCAGTACTTACAGTATTCGTATTAAAAATATTGTAACAAATAATATAATATACACAATTTTTAAGTATTAATCTCTTGTAATTTTAAATCACATTTTAATCACAATATTATCGCATTTCTTTGGATTGATTCATGCTAATACAACACTCAAAAGTAATATATTTTGAAAAATAATTAAAATAAAGAACTAGATATCGTTTTGAAAAATAATTGGTATATTTTCAATCGAGATGCAATCTTCCTCGATGCAAATATTTGAGTTAAGTACACTATCAATTGTCGTTTCAATCGTATCATGTGTTGTAGGTATATCGACTTGGTTGGATTGTAATTTTAACTTTTTTTTATTAATTTTATAGGCTTCGTCACCTTCATGTTCGATATCACTTTTTGCTTCGATACTTTTTTTTCCAGAGTCTCTTCTTTAACATTTTTAACTTTCTCAGCAAGTATTTGCTGAAAGTAATCATCCGATGTAATAACGGCACACTTTCCCTTCCTAGATTTCAATACCCTTGTTTCATTTTTATTAGTTTGTCTAATACTATTATTGCACTGATTCGTCACATCGCCTAATGGACTATCTGATAAGGCCTGNTAAATTTGCCAAGTGATTAAAAATTTTTTTTTAGTAGGTTATCTTCGACTAAGAATTAAATCAGCTCGTAGTAAAAAAAAAAGCTTTTAGTCCGGTAAATTTGTTTGAATGGAGAAACTATTGATGTTGTATATGTATATTAAAGAGGATTCAGCTAAAAATATGATTTTAATTTTAAATATTTGCATGCCCATTTTATCGGCTATGCCCACCTCCGCCCCACGTTCCCCATAGCAGTCAGTAAGTTCCATCGCCGCTAAGCGTTAGCTGAGCTGAGCTAACTTAGCTCCATGATTTTTCCCTCCGTGAGTGGGGGAGTTCATAAATACATATATAGTGAGCGCGTGGGCTCAAAGAAGAGAGGGGGTGCGGAGTAAAGTAGAGGGAGAGTCCTGATGGCAACGAATGCACAAGCCGCGGGTCGCGGCGTAGCGTAGCTTCAGTCGACTCGCGGACAGCGGAGTGCAATCTGTTGACACGCCGGTCTATTGGCGGTCTAGTGCGCCACGAAGTATATCGAAGTTACTGTGAAAACCGGCAGCTCGGTGTGTACCTATGTAACAAATGCAAAGTATGAAGTGTAAGTGACGCGTGTCGTATAGCATATGTATATTACGTGACTTACGTGAGTGTTGTTATTGTTGCATTCGGCGACTCCGAAACTGTTACACGACTCGTTTTTCTTTTTGGACGCTTCCCTTCGTACCTACTATTTTTTCTCCTCTGCAACTTGGAGTAGGTATAATCCTTTATTGTCAGGGCGTATACGTGGGGATAATATGTAACCTACATCGGCACACAGTCATAATATCTCTCGCTATCCTTTGTCCCTGGAGGTTACACGTGCGATTGTGCAAGAGAGAGTGAGAGGCCTTTTTTTTAACGACTTCCCTCCCGTTCTTCTATACGTTACTCATAGGTAGGTGAGATAAGAGTGCACAGTGCACACCGAAGGTAAACAAAGGAACGGTGTACAATACTTACTACACCGATGCAACATCGACTGGGAAATCGTCCATGGTACATTGGTATATAATATATACCAACCGGACGTCGTACATTTGTCAGGTACATTTAATACCAACGGCACGTTTATCGTTTTTTGCTGCACTGCTGTACACGACTTGGTCTCGCGCTTTGGAGCAATAGAAGGATAAAAAGAAATCGGTTGTGTCCTTGAAGGATATCTTTTTACACGTGTGCCTCTACTGTGCGTGTAATATACACTTTTGCTGCTGCTGTTAACGACTATATAAGTACTGAAATATCTACGTGCAGTTGAAATAATATCGGAGTGAAGTGGAAAGTTTGGTTTTTCTACACGTGTACCGTAAATGATTCATACAAATGGTGAAACAAATTCAAGTGGAGTGGTAATACAGTCAGTGTGTGTTTTGGTCGGTCGATTGCGTCTCACATAAGTTTTTTCATGTAGAGAATTGTAAATTGGTAATCTTAATCGCGACGTACTTGAATTACCTGGTGGTACCGTGTAATTTTTGTGAACCAAAGTGCAACAACAGCCGTTATATTGGAGAGGAAGCGGGAAAGCGGCGTGCCGCTGTTCTGTGTGCCGCGGCAGAGGCGCTCGTCGTCGCAAACGGATAACGTAAGTGCAAAAGAATTTATCTTTTTTTTTTTTTATCAAGAAATCGTCATTATACTGCAATTAAATGTACTCACAAACAATAACGTACCAATTTACTAAAGCAACAAAAAAACGGACCGTTCTGTAACATATATAGTTGAAGAGCTTCTCAATTGCATCACATGATTTGTGCCCTACTACTATTAGTTTTTGCTCCGACATTTGGTTACCCCATCAATGGAACACAAGTGCCAGTTGAGCTGCTGCAGTGGTTCACGTGTTTGGTTTAAATTATTTATGAGACCCCTGAGAGTTCTTTCTTTTTTTTAATCTATAACACGAAAACTGTGCACGTGACATTCATTCCCTCTGTTTGCTATTTTAGCAGAAATGACGTGTGTTTTGTAATTGTCCGCATCGAGATCTTTATAGCGGTAATTTAGATTTGTCGTGTTTATAAGCATCTTTTACGTACGTAGGTATGTGTAAAAATAAATACGCTCGGTTTAGCGAAACTCTTTTTCCCCTCCTTCTTTTGATTTCGCAGCTATTTCCGTCATTTCCGTTATATGCGCGAGCGAGCGAGTATATTTTGAGCCATTCGTACAGCTGTTTGTTATTGGTATAATTGACCAGACATTTTATAAAACGCGAAAAAACAGTTATTAATTCCCTCACCGTGTAATATATACACAAATAGGAACACGGGAGTGGTATAAATATTACATGAAAATACGTATTTGTACTTTTGTTGTGATTACTCATTCGTGAGGTATTTTCAAATTAGTTATTCGATACGAAAAGAGTCACGTGGTTACTGATAACTACCGCGTTGGACATTATAGTTATCGCATTTTATACGTGCATGATGTGCGTTTCAACATCGAAAAGTAAAAATTGTATGAGCCTATCGATGTGCACGTGGACTTGTTCGTGCAAAATAACAGGTTAAACGACACCATCGACACTACTGTAGTTTTATTATTAATCAATTCATACTCCAATATGTTTATTGCATTCGAACCATTCGAAGTTGTTAATTCTCAAGAGATTGACTTTCAAAAAGTAGTAACGTTACCGTTTTCCGTCTGGTTTTAATGCATATTCCAAATTGTCAATTGATTGCTGCATGTCTGTAATGATATTCGATTCCTCTACATCTGCAGAAAAAACATTATTACACCGTAGTGTAAATTGAGACAAAAAAAATTTATAAAAGTTACCATGCCAACACTATAAGTACTGTAGGCAATTATTTTGGTCTAGAGAATTTTTACCACAATGTAATGTTTACTGTTCCAACTGTAAATAATTGCGGTACTGGCGATAAAATTACTGTTTTTATGTAATAAAAATTGGGGAAACTAGTTTACTGTGCTGGTGAGTACTATTCTCGTTCCTCGACTTTTTCATTCAATCATTAAAAATGGAACGAAAGTGTATAGTTAGCACCACGTCTCCCAAACGATTTAACCGAAGGCCGTAAATTTTCATGCTCTGCTTGTTTTTGTGGCCGACTTCGAAAAAAAGATTTCCAGAGCCACTGACACTAAATTCAGTTTGCAATATCGCTGGACCACGTGCACGGATGAAGAAAAAAAAAGTAAACCCTAGCCCAAACAATAATTCGCGGTGAAAAAACAAGCGGTGAGTGTAAACACCTACAAAAAAAGAGCAAATCTCATTGATTCTAGAATGTAAAAAAATAAAACAAATAAACCACCGATACGACAATTAGAGGTGCAATCGTCGGTCTAGATACCCATACAAAAATTAACGCAATCAGCTCGGGTGGATAGATTTTCGTTTTATCAACTGCAAGAGACATGCACGTCGCGACGAGGGGATCTAATAGCAGTTGTCTTTTTTTTGTTATCCCCACTTTTTATTCTCTTGTGTCCACCTATCGATCGGAGGCGCGAAAAATCTTTTATTGTACGTATCAATGGGGACTCGTGTACGTGGGTGTGAGAAACATAGGTGGAGATCTCTCGGGATTAACCGTGTGTATACGTTTCTCGCCGCTACACAGAGATAAGAAGAGGCAAAAATAAAAAAACAGTGATATCTTTTTTGTTTTTTTTTTTTTCTTATCTAATACATACACTCACAGAAAGTCAAAGGAGAGTGATAATAAAAACATACATTCATACTGTGTACATCGTTTTTTCACATTGTTTCGAGAACATACTCCGAGGTTTAATTGTCCGTTTAAGCGAGCGAGCAAATGAATTATCTTAGTCTTCTTCTTGGAGAGGGAGTAATTAAACGAATGAATCCTTGCTCTGAAAAGATCGGATTAACGATTTACGGAGGAGGTCACCAACTCGTGACGGGTCAATTGCTGTAATATTTTTTTTTTTTTTTTTTTTTCTTTTCTTCAACGCAATGACCACAAATGAACGTACACACGCGTGCGATAAAACCTAAAGTGAGAATCGGGTTTTTTCGAGGTGACGAAAGAATCTTCCGGTAATGGATAAATAGGAAATACACGTCATCGAGCCTTATACATGTATACCACCTACTAATGGGCTTTTCTAATAGTTTGATTCCAATCCGTAACGATGGGAACTCGTGACTACGTGGCCAATAAGTCCACACACCAAATGGCTTGTTGTTTGTGCACGTTAAACTTTTGCTATCTGCCGCATACCTTGACAAATCGTCTTATCAACTATGCTAACTTTGCCTTTCATTCAACGGAACCATTCACCTTTTGTCGCTGAGATTGTTATCATTGATGTATATATTTTTTCACACACCGTATTCTCGCCTTTGTCGCATCTTTGAAAAACTCCCAACTGACATTTTTTTCAACCTAATGAAAAAAAAAAAAAAAAAAAGAAAAAAGAAAAAGTCCCAAAGCTCACACAACACAGGAAACCATCCGGCGTCCGTTTCACACACAAATCCAGCTTGCAGTGTGTGTCCGAAGTGGAAGGGCAGGAGGGGACCTCGAAACCAGTTTCACCCCTACCCAGAAGAGGCTGAAATTTTTTCCTCCTCCTCCTCTTCTCGTATGCATGCCTTTTATCCCCTTGTACCCTTATAGTGTGTATACATGTATGCAGGCACGGCCATTCATGAGGAAAAAAAAAAAAAAAAAAAAAAAANAAAAAAAAAAAAAAAAAAAAAAAAAAAAAAAAAAAAAAAAAAAACGGGAGAAAGAAGTCGAAATCCCCGAGCGAAGTGGTGGGCAACGCCATGCCTTGGAAGATGATCGCGCGCGCCTTGGCCGAAAGGCAACCCGAGACGAGTGTATATATTATGGTACACGCGGGCGCTCGAAAGACCGCAGGAGAGAGAAAACCGCAACACATGCACGCGCGTGTAAATGTATATTACAATATACCTACGTCAGACCTCGTGCACACACGAGAAACAGCTAAGTATATAGGAGCTCATTCGGTATTTTTTATAGACAAACGCCATATGGCTATAAATTCATTTTTGAATTGAAGCTTACGAAGATGGAAATAGTAGTTACGCTCGGTTACGGTGGTTGTCACGATGTTAGCGTAACAGAGACGCTTCGAAAATATTGTTTTCGTGAGAGTTTGTCGGTGGCAATGGTCTAGGATACACACCAGCAGAACGTGGCAGTGTAGTTATGCAATTGCAAGGGTATTTGCCTCGGTATTTGCATAATGCAACGATGTTACTCAGGGAGTACGGCTGATGGGAACGTTTTCGAGGAACCGTTGTTGCATACTATTATCGATTGCAGCCCGATGCTTGTAATTCCAACAACATCAATGAGTTTTACATTTCTTGTGAGCTCGCCCTTCGATGAATTTCGGTTTTCTCATTACCAAATACATTATGCTATCCGATGCTATCACCATACACTAGAGTACCACCTCATAGGTTCTTGAATCATCTATGATATTTCTCTTTTGTAATTCGTAACAGATAGAAGAAAAAAAGAGAGAAAAGAAAGTTACTTAACAAGCACTTACAATCTAGTGCCCAAGAGATGAGCAAAAAAGTAGTTCAATCATAAAATACATCGAGTCATATATGTTCTCTCGATCATATATTTATGTACCTACACGTAAGCGAGGTAGCTACACTCGCACGTAAGTATGGTCACATAACTTATACCGAAGGGTCAAAGTTCGCCAAGTCGATTAACCTCCTCTCTACCATGATCTATTATGACTTCTCCTCCTCGCATACCCCATCCAATCAATCTTCATCATCGTTTCCATCGCGTTAGATGTATAGCCTCGGTAGTTCTTCTTCTCTCTTCGTATACTACATGAAGAGAATAGGTATTATATACATGAGGAAGACACAGATCGAAGGAAGATACTTTTTTCCACCCTCACACGGACACGCGTGAGAATTCCTCTCACGAGCCTCGCGTTACGAGACACCCTGTGCGTGTGCTCTTACCGTTCTTGCTGTTGGTACTGCTCCGCCTCCTCTCCGTGAAGGCTGCGTGAAAGTAACAACCGTAACAATCGTCAAGGATTGGCCTCGTTTTGCGACGAAGATGCTCGTGCAAGCCGTGTCGTTTTTTATTTTTATTTTTAGAGAACCGTACGAGAGTACTTTGCGCAAAGTCTTGGGCACTTGCCGATCTTAAAAAGTACACTTTATTATTTCGCGCCTACTCTCCTCTCATGTGTCTATTTTTTCCACTTTTATATACAACGAGCGGTGAGAGGATCGCCAACTTGCGCTTGAATGCGATAAAAAGACAATTTTATTCACACCCGCGACTGTTTTCTTCTCTCCATCCCAATGTTATATATCAATTGCGCGCCGTTGGTATTGCGGAACTATCCTCGTTATGGCGTGGAGAACCATGTCTACAACGTGTTATTAAAAGAGTTTGTCGTTTGCAAATTTGTGGCGGTGAAGTTGCACTTTTCACGCGAAACAATTAAATTTACGACAATTGCTATAGGTGCAAATAAAGCCCGAACCCAACTATAGATGCGATGTATAAAATATCTGAAATCGGAGTCGCGGGGGCCTCGTTTTTTTTTTAATAAACTGTCTCGTTATGC